TTCTAATTAGAGATATCTCAAATTACAACTCTACTAGTGATAATTAAATTAGAGATATCTCTAACTGAATTAACACTGGTAAAAATTATAATTGAAGATATCTCTAATTGGTGTTTGACTAGTCATACTTATATTGCAGATATCTTTAATTCATGATTTCTTAAAGATATCCAAAATAAATTTGTAGCTATCTGAAAGTAATTTATTACTAGTCAAATTACAGTTGTAGATATCTTGAATTGGAATTCTTCCTAGTCAAAACTCATTTAAAGATATCTGCAATTTAATTATGGATATCTCAATCTGATTTTTGACTAGGAAGATCTTTCTTTGGAGATATCTGCATTTAGCTTTGTAACTAGGAAGAATTTAAATGTAGATATCTGGATTTAACAATGTGACTAGACAAAATTCCTTTATAGATATCTAAAATGTGCATGCAAATGCACCTTTGCTTAGCCCCACCTTAAACATTTTATTAACCAATCCTACCTTGGAAACTGTTGTCATCCGTCATTTTGTCTAAGAGCTGTATAATAAAGGTCCTGCGTCTTTGGGTCATTTTAAACTGTTTTATACAGAAGTAATTCAAAAGTATGGAAATGTAGCTGGAGCATGTGTAAAAGTGGTAGGCTATACAGAGAGGCTTTTGTCCTTTTCTATATCGTAATGTTGAGACGTGTGTGCTGTGGATTAAATTGTGTTATACTTTATTTACAAACGAACACATGTAAAATCAGTAGCTAAGTATTTGTATAGGCCTCATGTCAGCTGTTGCAACATTTGATATAATGTTAAAATAATAAATTGGCGCTAATCATTGAACACAGCAGAATATCATCATCATGGATCTCTTGCTTTAATACAATACAATACTCCCACCTTGTGGGCTACTTCCTATGGAAGCGCTCCGCCACTAAATAAATAAATAATAAATAAATAAATTGCGACTTTTTATCTCACAATTCTGACTTTTTTTTCTCAGAATTGCGAGATATAGCTAAACACAATGCAAACAATTGTGAGTTATAAAGTTTATAACCCACATTTTTTATATCTCGCAATTCTGGGGAAAAAAAGTCAGAATTGTAAGATAAAAATCTGCAAATTACTTTTATTTTTTATTCCATGGCGGAAACAAGCAGCCATAACGACACAAATAAACCTGAATCCATACACAACGTAATATAACCTACTAATAAATGTCATCAATGCCAGTTAAACTTTTATTAAATTGTAAAAAAATTTAAAATCAGCCTTCACCTTTTTTGACTGCATCTGATTATGAAGCATCATTCTTGTCCGTCATGCATTTATTTGTACTATTTTTCATGTTTTTGTTGTATAATTCCATTGTTCTCCATTGTCTAAAGTATTTAGAAATATCTCTAATCAGATTTATTACTAGTGCAATTTATTTTTTATTTATTTAGTCATTTATTAGACGCTTTTATCCAAAGCGACTTACAAATGAGGACAACAGAAGCAATCAATCGTAGTATTAAAACAACTAAAAACATATCCAAAACTAAAAGCTAAAACTTTATAAATACTACCTATACACATTTTAAAAATAAAGTGATTAAATAAAAATGACAAATGCATACAACACAATTTCAAAACTTAACATATAAATGAAAAACAAAAAATAAAGCTAAAAACAATTCACAATATTAAAGAACAAAAGGTATAAGAGTATGATAATGATTCTAACATAACACTAAGCCAAACACCAAAAAAAAAAATTTTTTTTTTTATAAATGCAGATATCTCTATTTATCATTTTGACTAGTCGAATTACAATTGTAACTATCTGAAATATATTTTATGGATAGTCAAACTAAAGTTTTAAATGCTAAACGGCTTGCCATATGCCATAGCCCTACTTGCATTCGACCGCTCCAGGCACGTAGATGCGGCCGCCATCTTGGAACGGTCAACTTGACGTCAATCACCATACTGTAGGTTCTGACAGAGCCGTTGAGCCGTTCTGTGCAGGATTGTGGCATCTTTCGAATATTTAGACGCTTTTATCCAAAGCGACTTACAAATGAGGACAACAGAAGCAATCAATCGTAGTATTAAAACAACTAAAAACATATCCAAAACTAAAAGCTAAAACTTTATAAATACTACCTATACACATTTTAAAAATAAAGAGATTAAATAAAAATGACAAATGCATACAACACAATTTCAAAACTTAACATATAAATGAAAAACAAAAAATAAAGCTAAAAACAATTCACAATATTAAAGAACAAAAGGTATAAGAGTATGATAATGATTCTAACATAACACTAAGCCAAACACCAAAAAAAAATTTTTTTTTTTTATAAATGCAGATATCTCTATTTATCATTCTGACTAGTCGAATTACAATTGTAACTATCTGAAATATATTTTATGGATAGTCAAACTAAAGTTTTAAATGCTAAACGGCTTGCCATATGCCATAGCCCTACTTGCATTCGACCGCTCCAGGCACGTAGATGCGGCCGCCATCTTGGAACGGTCAACTTGACGTCAATCACCATACTGTAGGTTCTGACAGAGCCGTTGAGCCGTTCTGTGCAGGATTGTGGCATCTTTCGAATATTCAGTGATTACTATGGTGAATGATATGAAGGTATTTTTGGTGCAAAACAACTGAGCGTCTGTGACAGCGGAATTTAGACGCTCAGTTGTTTTGCACCAAAAATACCTTCATAGAATGACGGCAAGTTGACGGCGTATAGCTTATAAAAATACGTATAGCGGCCCGTAAAAATAGTCGCTAATGAGGCTTCTACGTATATACATCTATGCTGTAGCCTACACTGTTGGGCCTCGTCATTGTACGTCCTTACACTACGCAACCCAGCGATTCCTCAATCACACACAAACCTGCGCAGCCAATCAGATCTCCAAGTCATGCGTCGCTAAGCAACCGCCTCAAACTATGCCATAGAGATCAGCGCAGTCGCGCACCTTCTGCGT